ATCTCAGAAAGTGTAATTCATAAATTTTTTTGAAAGAATTCTGTTTTCGAAAGATTTTTTAAAAAGTTTTTTTTTTCAATGATTTCTGGTTTGGGTGGCGTTTTGGGGTGTATATATAAGAAGTTTTAGCAACGATTTTACATCGAAATTTTGAATCGAATTAGCATCGAATTAGCATCAAAAATATTTGCGTCGACTTTCCTTCGAATTAGCGTCGAATTTGCGACGATTTTCAGTGACACTACATAAGTAGGTGAACCCATTAAAAACGTGCAACCTACCAACCACCTTCGACGTAATATTCGACGATATATCCGACGCTAATTTACCGATGCTAAATCAACGCTAATTTAGTGTCGATTTAGCATCGAAGTTAGAATCTGGATGCTAATGCGACGATTTAGCGTCGAATATTTTCGTCCCAATATTGCGTCGAATGTTTAGATCGACACAAAACCGACGCAAGGTCGATGCTATATTTGCATCGACACTAAACCGATGTAAAAATTCGACGCTAAAACTGTGTTTTTTTGTAGTGTCCATGTCTTGGTACAACAACTCCTGGCTCAGCTCGTTTATTGTTTGTATTCTTTGGAGTGAGGCCAGTCACAACTTGGATTCTCCCTACTGCTGTTTGCAGTTTCCAGATCTGCGATTTTCTCCAGTTGAAGTCTCGGCTCTCTCCCTTGCTCCTTGATATGCTTGGGACAGGTATGGTCTATGTGACCCCATGGAACGTCTCGAACTTGCTTAGATTCTACCTTAAATTAGGATTAATATTCCTGAGTTTAAGGATTCAATCAGTTTTATTATCTCAATATGAGACTTGTTGGCTATCTTTGAACCTTCGGTTACCTTGCGCTAAGGTGTTTAGGTTTTTGATTCGCCTTCTTTTACCTCAGAATGATGCTCTTTTACCTCTGTACGAGGTCCTTTTATCTCAATATGAGGATCCTTTACCTCAGAATGAGGCTGTTACTCAAAAGATTTTATCTTGTTATATACACTACATTGTTATGGTGGTCTTCTTTTATGATGAAATAGTATTATACTTCAAAAAGATATGACTGGTCTTGTTGGATCCGAGTTTTTTTGTTATGCAGGTCTTGGTCTCGTTCATTTACCACAGTATGCGGGTCTCGTCCTCTTCGACATATGCTTAACACCACCATAAGTACTCCTCCCTCACAGCCTGAGCCTGAGACAGGGGAAACTCCTCTCTGTTTTGTCGTTGCAGCATGGAACCCTTCCTCTCTTGATTGTGGAATGGGATGGTATTGCCTAGAGTCATCAATGAAGACCCTCCTCCAAGGCTTTGCTTCCGGTAGACAAGTACACTCAGCCCTCATAGCTGATGCTATCGTCGTTAAAACTTCCCTAATTGCAGTTACCAATGCAGGTATCCGAACACTCCGGTGTCTCTCGGATTCTCGCACTCTTGTCATGTTGCTCAATGCGAATGATATGATCAATGAGCTGAAACCTGTGCTCCGCGACATCCATTGTCTTAGCATAGGTTTTGAATCTATCTCTTTTGATTTTATTCCGCGTTTGGAAAATGTTCTAGTCAACGCTTTAGCTAAGTTCGGTCTTGTATCGTTAAACTTCTTTATCGAATATGTAATGTAAACATCTATCTATTTATAAAAAAATCGGTTTGATAAAAAAAAAAATAGTATCCGCTAAAATAGTTAACCAATAAATCGTTCATCACCCATTGATTGCTAATTAAAAATCCAAGAAAAAATTATAACCGTCCGATACGAAACATACAGTACGCGTAAACACAGCGTATAGCTACCTCACGTGCTCACGGATAAAAAGTCAAAATAGCCCCAATAACAGCTGCAACTGCCACCAGAAGCGGTCGAGGGTAGTATCGTCATTTAACATGAACGTTCTCACCTTTCGACGCTTGAGCTTCTTTCTAATCAAAAAATACTTTCCCCCAATTTCGTTCATTTTCGCAACCAAATCGAAAAAAATAAAAATTGTAAATAGAGAGAAAATTAAGGCGGGGAAAAAGATCACACGATCAATAAAATTAGTGCAAAAAATAAAAATCCAGAACTGTTCTTTCTTCATAATCGGAGGTTCGTTTTCAATTTTCCTCTCTCGTTCTGTATATATTATATTTTTAAATGATTGTGATTTTTGTAACCTATTTTGACTTTTTTTTTTTTTTGAGATTGGGGATTTTGTTGAATTTTGATTACTCAGTGGTTGATTTCTGCTTTTTTGGAGAGATTTTGTTTTTTTTTTTGTTGCTAGAATAGGAATCGGAATTAAAGAGAATTAATGTAAAATCTTGTAACAGTAGAATTTTCTAAGGTCGGAATCAAATCGAAAGCTTTTATGTGAATTTAGGATTTTTTTTTGTCAATTTATGTTTTCTGATTTCTGGGTTTAATTGCAGATCTGGTGTTTCTCAGTTGGTGAATTGAGGTTCTGCTATAAATTTTAAGACAAGAACGAAGCTGAAACAAATCAAGTTGTTTTTATGGTTCATGTCTGTTTAGATTAGTGATTTGGTCTTGTTCTTCTTTCTCTTGAGGGTTTAGTGATTTGATTATGGGAAGGAGAAACGCGAGGAATTCGAATAGGAAGGTTAGATCTAAGGATAAGGGTTCAGATGAATCAGATGAGGATTACGTAATATCT